TTTGTACCTCTTTTTTTTGTATGATTTTACTTGCTATATTCACCGTTGTAGCATTATAAACCGTATTGTTACTCTCACGCCTGTCTGGATAAATCTCACTCGTTCCCCTGTTCTCGCCTATGTATACGAGATATTTTAGGAAGTGCGCATCCTTATCAGCAGATCTTTTGCTAGATTGGGCTCGGCGTTGACGAGTATGGAAATGACAGAAGCAAATGTGGGATGGGGTACAAATTAAGGATGATCCGTCTTCTATTTGATCAAATAACAAGTTTTTCTACCAAAAGACAAATCACAACGTTATAGTTACTCCACGAAATCAACCAAGAACATGTCACGGTAGCCAGCTCCAAAGTGAGTTTGAAACAATCACCGACAAGGATAGACAATGTCATGACCTAAACCAGAGGAATTAATGAACAAATAACCACAACACTCCTTTTAAGTCCTGATCAGAAGCAAGCATCCAAGAGGCAACAACAACAGAGTGCTGCTAAGCTGCACATGAAACAAGAAAGTTTCTTGTCAAAATTCAATTCGATTATAAAACCACACGGTTCAAGAAAATTCTCAAATTTCAGTTCAATTATCCAGGAGTAGTATCTGTCAATAACCTTCCCTAGAGAATCCTTATACAAGCAATCCTCTGACTCGGATGAATTTAACAACATGAGTTAATCAGACCCGAACCGTCGCATAATCAAGAAAATCGTAACCTTCACTGATTGACATTTTAAATTCTGCAAAGCATTTCAAAAGAAGGTCCACCGCGAGATAGTTGCTGCCTGCTAATTTTTCGATTGTCGACGATTCTCTTGCCTAGAATATCTCACCACAAAATACATATACACGTTTTTTTAATCAATGGAAATTGTTCATTATTAAGAAGCATCAGCAGCAATCAGGTTGCGTAGACTCAGGGGCTGGTTCTGTTCTACTACTAAACATACCAAGGCATTAGACAAAGAAGACAGCCTACGGTTGATGTCTGCAACAATGGGAGCTATTGTCAAGGATCAGTTCTGTCCAAAAATTTATTCTTTAACACACTTCTCAATTTCTCGGATGAAATTCTTTTAAATTTAAAACTTTTACTATACAACACTACTTGACCATTTGATGTTAAAACTTTGAAATCAAGTCATGAATCAATTCAATCTACATGAAACACCAAATATAATTTATATTATTTTTTAAAAAATATCCCAATTTGAAATGAGATTAGAATCTTGATGACAGTGGCATCAGATCCAATGAAGATATTGCCATCACCAAATAAGAGCCCTTGTGAACTTAATTAAGTATGTCTTTTGTCAATTATGCAGTAGTCTTTTGTTCCAATACACATACACCCACCAACTAGCCAACAAGTGGAAAGACGTTTAATTACTGCTGCTATGAATAAAAATTTCTAGACAGATAAAAACTATCAGGGCATAAAACAACCTTAACTGAACTTAACAAGTACGATGAACAGCAAAAGGCAATACAACATCTTTCCATTAACAGAAAAAGAAGAAGAAAAATGATTTGACTAGTCACCTAATCAAAAGATTAGGAGAGAGATAAAGAGAGGCATAAACATACCATCCTTCAAGGAAACCAGTTTCTTGCCTAGGAGGAGGAGCAGCATACTGTGGAGCATACCCTTGAGGAGGGTAGCCTTGAGGAGGATACCCTTGTGGATATCCCTGAACAGGGTATCCAGGTGGTGGATAAGCATCCTTTGGATACCCTACAAATCCATTAAACAAAATTAAAAACCATAAACTCCAAAACTCCTTAATCCAAGAAAAGCCATACATGATACATACCTTGCTGTGGAGGAACACTAACTGGCGGCTGGTGCTGATCGTAATAACTCATCTCCCCTCTGATCAAAAGCTTTCTTTTTTCTTCTTGGGTTCTTCTCTTTTTCTTTGACAAAGAAGTTGGTTTGGTGCAAGGGAAGGAAGGGTACTATAAAACAAAGGTATGTGAAGGAGGTTTTGACAGTGGGAAGCTTAGAGGAAATTTCTTTCTTTCTGGAGAGGCAAATGCGGTTGCTTTGCTTTATAGAAAGAAGAGAAGGGAACGGAAGGGAAGAGAAAAGATGTCATCCACTAAGGGAAGCAATGAAGAATCTTTGCTTTTCCACACAGTAGTGTATGTATATGTGTGTATGTATTGGCAGGTACAGGGCAAGGCAATATTAGAACAGGTTATTTACTGCGACTTCCTCTGTATCTTCAAGCTTTCCACGCAGTCACAGCTTGACGATGTCTTTTTCCTCCTCTGTTACTGCGTCACGATGCCTTTTTAGAAATTTATTGGTATTTAATTTTAAGATAATTAAAATAAGTATTTGTAAAAAAAATGATAAATTAATTTTACATAAAAAATTCAAAATTCTCTTTTATTATTTATTTTGACAAAAGCATATATATTTTTTAATTAGCAACATAGTTGTTTTAATAAATAAAAACCTTGATGATTTAAATAAGTGTTCAAGAATTTTTAATTATTTAAATTAAAAGAAAAAAAATATATCTCTTTAATCAAAACTTTCATTCTTTATTTATATATTTTTTATTTCGATAAAAATACATCTTTTTTTTATTAGAAGAAGCGTGCGTGGTTTTTAAAATCAAATGATTTTAAAAACAATTTTTAATACAAAAATAAAGACATTGTTTTTCCATAAATTTCTGTTTTTCAAATTAATATCTATGAATTATATTAATCATCCTGAAGTAATTAGAGCAGTTGGAGCATAGCAAAACAAATGTGTAGATGGAGCGCATGCCAGTGAGGGTCCTTCTGCCTGAAGAGATGGCAAATATACCAGTGAGGGTTGAATCGGTCATTTACTATTGGCTCACAGACTAATAAACACTTGGTAATTGATTATCATTCCTTTCCAGCAAGATATATTGTTCATTATTCTTATTTTCCCAAGGGAGAAGGAAGTTATCTTTGAAGTTAATCTTCTTGCTCCTCAATATTATTTATAATTTTAATTGGGTATATTTGAGAGTGTGATTTTATTAAAATATATGATAGAATACAATTTTTATAAAATATAAAACAATTATCTTATTTTTAAATTTTTTTTGATTTATAATGATTTAATTTATTTATAAAATTAAACTAAGATTTATGATTTGCAATAATATGAATTTAGACACATGTTACCAGGTGAAATTTGATGATTTAGGATGCGTTTGTTTTTAGAAATTATTTTAAAAAAATTTATGTATTTGTTTGTTATTTAAAAAGTTGGTCAATGAAAACACTTTTCAATTATAAAAATTTGACTTGATTTCAGGAAAGTATTTTTCTTTTATTTTAGGCAGAAAACACTTTCTGGAAGTTGTGAAAAATTTAAAAATATCATATTATTTGCTGATTATATTAAATTTGATCTTCAAACTTTTGATTGCTATATATATTTTGTTTTTAATATTTGTTTTTTAATTTCATCCCTTATAATTTATTTTTTATATTAACTTTGGTCCTTATTTTTATAATTGTTATTTGCTTATCCCTTATTATTTTTTAATTGAAATTTTTTATCTAACAAATTTGGTCCTCATTCTTTTGATTATTACTAATTTTATTTGAAATAATTTATGAAATGTTAATTATTATAATTATAATTTCTTTTTTTTTTAATTTTTTTATTTTTTAGATTTGATATCTATTGTTTTTATTATTATTTATTTTATCTGAGATAATTTATGAAATTATATTTTTTTAATTTCATTGTCATTCAACTTTTTTTAATTTGTAAGATTTGTTTCTCATTATTTTAATAAACTTGAAAAAAAATAAAACATTAATGAGTTATTTTTCACCTTATTTTTCATTGTATAATTAAACACTGAAAAATATTTTCTAATTTATTTTTCATTACACTGCCAAATATCAAAAAATAATTTACTTTTTAAAAATAAATTATTTTCCAGCAAAAAAATGAGGCCAATACTTTAAGGAATATTTTAATTTTTTTTAAAGTGCTATTAAATTTTTTTATTAAACATTAAGCCTTGTTCAAATAGAGCTTTTAAAGCTTTTAAGAGGGATTTATTGCTTAAATAGCTTGTTTTAAGGAAAAGATTTTATCCACAAAAGAATTATATTCCTCTCCGTATCTAAAGTGAGACCCTCTTTTTTTTCAAAAGATTTATAGGAGTACTCATATCTTTGAAAAATGTAACATGTTATTATTTTATTAATTGATTTTTATTTATAAAATATTATATTTATGATAAAATATTTTAAATATTTCATTTTATTTTTTAACTTTTTATTGGCAAAGAAGTAAATAAAGACCTATTTATTTTTATTATCATTTATTTCAAATTTATTTTATCTTTTTATGTGAAAATAAAATGAAAATGATATGAATGTTTTTGGTTCCATAGGGTTGACTGGACTTTCTGAAATTTCTTTTTATACGATGGCTTGGAGGCTAGGAGGGGAGAAGATGAGGATGAGTTATTGCAAAAAAGAGAAATTAGGGGATTTGTTTTTCATAATTTGGTGATAGAGTTGTAACATTAAATTATTAAAGGTTGGACTTTTTAGTTATTAAATCAATTATAATTTCTTTAATAAATGGATCAACAAAATTACAAAGCAGAAAAAATAGCATCCATTGCATCGTCAATATTTACAGGAAATTAAAAAAAAATAGCAGAAAATTCCAGATTTTAGAGGGGAAATTCAAAAAGTTAAATCCTAGAAAACAACCTTCCGGATAACAGATTATGGAAATATGGTACGGTACCGGATATGATTTAAAATATTTTTTTATTTTTTAAAAATTATTTTTAATATTAATATATTAAAACCATATAAAAATATAAAAAATTTTAATTTTAAATAAAAAAATTCGAAATTTTTAAAAATAATATAGGGAGAGGGAGGGACCCTCTGCTTTCAAGTTGTCTGGCTTAGATGGATTTGGACACTCAAGATAAGAAGGAAAGGTCATGTTCTTCGCCTTTGCATGACTAAATTTGACAGTAGTGCTTCGTGGAAGATGCTGCCAGCTGCAATCAATCAATTAATACAGTGAGGGAGGGACCCTCTGCTTTCAAGTTGAACGCATCTCAACATTCCAAAACGTTCCCAACTTTCAGACCATTCTTCTCTCTCTTTTCCTCAATCTTAATTTCTTGTTTGATTTCCCAAAGAAAACAAGAGAATATGGCAGCAGAACTTTTTCTTACGTTTGCCATGGAGGAGACTTTGACAAGGGTCAGTACCATAGCTGCTGAAGGGATCAGACTTGCTTGGGGATTAGAGGGACAGCTGCAAAAGCTAGAAGAGTCCTTGGCCATGATCAAAGCTGTGCTAAAAGATGCAGCCAGAAGGCCCGTAACAGACGATTCTGCGAAGCTTTGGCTGGAGAAGCTACAAGATGTAGCTTACGATGCTGAAGATGTTCTAGACGAGTTTGCTTATGAGATTCTCCGTAAAGACCAAAAGAAGGGAAAGGTACGTGACTGCTTTTCACTGCACAACCCTGTTGCATTCCGTCTGAATATGGGTCGAAAAGTTAAGGAGATCAATGGATCACTGGATGGGATTCAGAAACTTGCAACTCGCTTTGGGCTGGGAATTGCATCTCAACATGTAGAGAGTGCTCCTGAAGTTATCCGGGATATAGACCGAGAGACTGATTCCTTGCTTGAAAGCTCAGAAGTTGTAGTAGGAAGAGACAATGATGTCTCTAAAATCATGGAATTGCTGATTGGCTCGATCGGTCAACAAGTTCTGTCTGTTGTCCCTATTTTTGGGATGGCAGGTCTTGGAAAGACTACCATAGCAAAGAATGTTTGTCAATTAGCAAGGGAGAAAAACCATTTTGATGTGATTCTATGGGTTTGTGTCTCTAATGATTTCAGTAAAAGGAGGATATTAGGAGAGATGTTGCAAAAGATTGATAAATCTACTGGTGGGTTGAGCAATCTAGATGCAATTATGGAAAACCTTAAGAAAAAGCTGGAAAAGAAAACACTTCTTCTTGTTCTTGACGACGTGTGGAATGAAGACCATGCTAAGTGGGATGATTTGAAGGAGCAACTGTTAAAAATTAACAGCAAGAATGGGAATGCCGTTGTTGTTACAACCCGCAGTGAGACAGTAGCAGGCATGATGAAGACTTCTCCACGGAGTCAGCACAAGCCAGGAGAACTAACAGATGATGAATGTTGGTCCATTATCAAGCAAAAGGTGAGCAGGGGTGGAGGAGAAACAATACCTTCAGACTTGGAGTATATTGGAGAACAGATTGCAAAGAAATGTGGAGGGATTCCATTACTTGCTAAAGTTTTGGGAGGAACTCTTCACGGAAAGCAGGCACAGGAATGGAAGTCAATTCTAAACAGTAGAATTTGGGATTCTCCGGATGGAGTTAAAGCTTTGCGCGTATTGAGACTCAGTTTTGATTACCTGTCATCGCCAACACTGAAAAAATGTTTTGCATACTGTTCCATTTTCCCTAAAGATTTTGAAATTGAAAGGGAAGAGCTGGTTCAACTATGGATGGCTGAAGGTTTTCTCAGGCCATCAAATGGGAGGATGGAAGACGAAGGCGAGAAGTGTTTCAATGACTTGCTTGCAAATTCCTTTTTCCAGGATGTTGAAAGGAATGCGTGTGAGATCGTAACAAGCTGCAAGATGCATGATCTTGTGCATGATCTTGCAGTGCAGGTCTCAAAATCAGAAGTGTTAAATCTGGAGGAGGATTCGGCTGTTGATGGTGCATCTCATGTTCGTCATCTAAATCGCATGTCTCGTGGGGATGATGAGGCAGCATTAACAGCGGTTGATGCTAGAAAATTGCGAACTGTTTTCTCAATGGTTGATGTATTGAATGGATCTTGGAAATTCAAAAGCTTGAGAACTCTCAAATTGCAAGGGTCTGGTATCACAGAGTTACCAGATTCGATTTGCAAGCTGAGACATTTGAGATATCTTGATGTCTCGGATACTGCTATCAGAGCATTGCCGGAACCCATCACCAAGCTGTACCATTTGGAAACATTAAGATTCACTGATTGCAAGTCACTAGAAAAGCTTCCCAAGAAGATGAGGAATTTAGTGAGCTTGAGACATCTTCATTTTGATGATCTAAAGCTAGTGCCAGATGAGGTGAGACTCTTAACACGCCTTCAAACTCTGCCTTTATTTGCTGTGGGTCCAGATCATATGGTTGAAGAGCTGGGATGTTTGAATGAACTAAGAGGAGAATTGCAGATAAGCAAGCTTGAGCAAGTGAGAGACAAAGAAGAAGCTGAGAAGGCAAAACTGCGTGAAAAAAGAATGCACAAATTGGTGTTTGAATGGAGTGATGATGAAGGTAACAGCAGTGTCAATAGCGAGGATGTGCTGGAAGGCCTGCAGCCTCACCCAGAGATAAGAAGCTTGACAATTGAGGGTTATGGAGGTGAAAATTTCTCATCATGGATATTGCAACTCAATAATCTGATGGTGCTGAGATTGAATGGCTGCAGCAAGTTGAGGCAACTCCCAACACTTGGATGTCTTCCTCGCCTTAAGATTCTATATATGAATGGAATGCCTAATGTGAAATGTATAGGCAATGAGTTCTATAGCAGCGGTGACAACGCAGCAGTACTGTTTCCAGCACTGAAAAAACTCGCTCTATCCAGGATGGATGGTCTTGAAGAATGGATGGTACCAGGTGGAGAAGTTGTTGCAGTATTTCCTTGTCTTGAAGAGTTGAGCATTGATACGTGTAGAGAGTTGAGGCAACTCCCAACACTTGGATGTCTTCCTCGCCTTAAGATTCTAGAGATGAGTGGAATGCCTAATGTGAAATGTATAGGCAATGAGTTCTATAGCAGCGGTGACAGCGCAGAAGTATTTCCTCGTCTTGAAAAGTTGAGCATTGAGGAGTTTCGAAAGTTGAAAAGCATTCCGATATGTCGTCTTTCATCTCTTGTAGAATTTGAAATTGACGGATGTGATGAACTGAGAAATTTGTCTGGTGAGTTTCATGGCTTCACGTCTCTTCGAGTTTTAAGGATACTGAGGTGTCCAAAGCTGGCATCCATTCCAAGCATACAACACTGCACAGCTCTGGTGGAATTGATTATATGTGGCTGCCCTGAGTTGATGTCAATTCCTGGTGATTTTCAAGAATTGAAATATTCTTTGAAGGAATTGGTTATTTGGGGATGTAAATTGGTAGCTCTTCCAAGCGGACTGCAATGTTGCGCATCTCTAGAGGGATTGCAGATAGAGGACTGGAGCGAGCTTATCCATATCAGTGATTTGCAAGAATTGTCTTCGCTTCAAACATTAGTGATTAGAGGTTGTGATAAGCTCGTCAGTATTGATTGGCATGGTTTACGGCAATTGCATTCTCTTGTTGTTTTAGCAATCACCGGGTGTCCCAGTTTGAGTGATTTCCCAGAGGATGATTGCTTGGGCGGCCTCACCCAACTGGAGGATTTGAGCATCGGTGGTTTCTCAGAGGAGATGGAGGCTTTTCCTGCAGGAGTTTTAAACTCAATCCAACACCTCAATTTGAGTGGGTCCCTCAAATCCCTATGGATATTTGGATGGGATAAACTGAAGAGTGTACCCCACCAACTTCAACACCTCACTGCCCTTACTAGCTTGTTTTTAAGGGATTTCAACGGGGATGAGTTTGAGGAAGCATTGCCAGAATGGATGGCCAACCTTTCTTCTCTTCGATCTCTGTATATTTATAATTGCAAGAATCTCAAGTATATGCCAAGTTCAACAGCCATTCAACGCCTCTCCAAATTGAAGGAATTGCATATCTCGGGGAGGTGTCCGCATCTATCAGGAAATTGCAGAAGGGAGGATGGCTCTGAGTGGCCCAAGATCTCTCATATCCCAACAATCGAGATAGAGCGTAGATTTGTACAGGGAGGTTGGGGTTTTTAATTTTTATTGTTCCGTTACCTTGTAGGTATGCGGGGAGGAGAGAGAACCAATTAAAGAATTCAAAATAATGAAAGCAGCAGCAGCAAGAATTAGACTTCATTCTGTTAAAAATGGGTTATTTTCTCATATCCCAGCATTCTTTAGACATATTAATCAAAAGCAATTATTAGAGATAATGGACACGTGTACAGGTAAGTTGGGGTTTTAATTATTCCGTTACTTTGTAGTATGCAGAGGAGAGAGAACCATTCAAAGAATTCAAATCAATGAAAGCAATAATTAGACTTTATTCTTTTAAAATTAACTATCAATCATAATCAAAACCATTAATAATCTTTTATTATGTTATCAAAATTTATACTTATTATTGTAACCATTACTCATTATTGTAATAAAATTTCATAAAATAAATGATTTGTTTTTTTTTTTTCTATCTTAACCTAAATTTTAAACATTCTATTATAACCTAAATTTGATTACGTGGAATATGATGTATCAAAATAGAAAATCAATAGCCATCCTACATTTTTTCAATCATTATTATAATATCATTCTTACAAGATAATTTAACCTATATTTATTAAGATTGTTTCCATTTATTAAAGATATTTTCTTTATCTAAAAAAGATTTAAAAAAGAAAAAAGGAAAACTTGGCTCCAATTTATATAAAATATAAATTAATAAATTATATAATGATAATATATTATCTAACTCCAACTAGTACAAGTAAAAAAAAAAATTCTTTAGAAAGCCAAATGTTAACTTAGATAAGTAGTGATAGGAATGATTTAAAATATAAATTTTAGTGGTGATTAAGAACATTATTCTTGGAAGGTAGTTAAACTATTGAAAATATATTTTAGAAATTTCTTCGATAATGATATTTTCCTTACTAGCTTGGTTTTAAGGGATATTTTCCAAATGTTAACTTAGATAAGGGATGATTTTGAGGAAATAAAATAAAATAGGGATGCAAAATCTTAAATAAAATATTAAACGCAAGAATCCAATGTAAAAGGGATGCAAAATCTTAACAGTTCAACTTCTGTTAGTTGCATGCATAAAAATATAAATTTGGTTCAAACCTTCTTGTTGAGCTCAAAGCATAAAATAGTTTTGAAGAAAAAATGCTGCAAATAATGGTTCCAAAAAACAAGCAAAATCACCAAAATGCACAAAGATACTTGAATTGGCAGATCTTGTAAATTCACTTCACAGAGTATATCGATCACTCCAACGAGAGGGGTTATTGCTTAGGAACAGGGATGGCTAACTGATTAGATCACAATTCACAATTTCAAGAACTAAGGCTTTATAACTACACTACCTGAAAAAGAACCACAAGTATTTCGATACAAGAAAATTGCAGAACAATTGCAGAACAAATTGCTAACATAAAAATGAAGTACCAAAAACTATAAAAAATAAAACGAGATCACTAACAGATATATGCTAATAAGGTTGTATTCATATATATAATGGCCAAAGATCATAATTAAAAGTTCTGGAATTATGTTCTTTAGCTGATGAATATATTGTGATCAGTAAGTTTCCTGTATCTTCTCTTCTTTCTTTCACATTGGTGGGATTGTATGATGTATAAATTAAGCTCTGGTGGGCTCAACATCAATGGAAGAATCGAAATTACTGGTACTCTGTCTCCCTTCTTTATCTCTTCCTTCATGTTTCTTTCCTTTTGTGTTGGTGGTTTTGGAATTTAAACTAAAAAAGGAGGAGAACAGTAGAAGTAAAGAAAATTAACTTGTGCTTGTCCAATTACAACAAACTCTGTCTATCACTGTCTCAGTGCATTTATCTTTTTTTCTTTCGTTTATTTGATACAAAATCATTATAGATCTTTTTTTAATATAATAATTAATTATTATATAACAAAAGTAAAATACACACATTCAATAAATCTCTTAATTTCCCATCATGTTGTGCATATATCTTTTTTTCCTTTAACAATCTTTCTGCAGATGAGTATAATTTAGTAATTTTAGTATAACTTTGAATTTGAATACGGTCCACATGTATCCTAAGTGGCATTCAACATATACATAATTCTATAAGTCTTTTTTCTCTATAGCTAGCTTCAATTTTTGTACATTATATATCTTTATAGATACTTATTAAGATTATTTCATTTTGTAGCTAAGTAGGCAATTATCCACGTGTCGAGTAGATTAACAGAAACTAAAAAAAATATTTTAGAATATTAACCTTCCATACATTTGACATATTTGACGCAGTCCTTGAGAACAAGAAGAATAAAGGCCTCTTAAAAAACCTGATTATAGGGCCGAGATTGCTAACAGAGGACCAACATGAACAGCACCTTGCAAAGTCATAAATCTAGTGATGAATAGGGTGCTGAGCCAGCAAAATGAAACGAAATGTTGGACAAAAAACAAAAAGGGTAAAAGAGTGCAAGCACAATGTATAAGAGAAAACAACTGCAGCAAGAAAAAAAAACACAAAAAAGGAACTGCTTCCAGAGTAAAAATGGAGGTTGGGAGCATAACAACTGTGTAGAAGCAAACTTAAAAGAAAGATGGTTAAGGATTGAGTAATTTAAGGGGGTACTTAAAGTAACAGCTATGAAAAAGTTATAAGAGTGCGAGCACAATGTATAAGAGAAAACAACTGCAGCAAGAAAAAAAAACACAAAAAAGGAACTGCTTCCCGAGAAACCGCGGGTGTTGAGAGCAAGACAACTGGGTAGAAGCAAACTTAAAAGAAAGATGGTTAAGGATTGAGTAAAGGAGGGGGGTGCTTAAAGTAACAGCTATGAGAAGCTAAGAACACATACAAGTGAAAGAAAAAAAGTGATATGTACCGTCAGATTCTTGAAAGAAGACCAAGAAGCTGACTGAGGAGAGAATGGGCGTGATCCTAGCAGAGTTGACAGCAAAACAGTAAGGCAAGTGATAGATGTTCCACAATAAAAATTAGAAAACAAAGGTAAGGGAAGAGGAAAGAAGAGTAGAACAAAAGAAAAGAAAACAACACTATACTAAAGAAAAGTCAGCACAATTATGTTTCAAAAAACCAAATCCCAAACATTTAGAAACCAATGAATTCTTTTAACTCCTTTGTGCATCATCCTTTATGCAACATATAGCCTTGGAAGTGTTGAAACATCTAGTGAATCATCTTTAAAGCATAACCAAAATTTTCTAGGAAATCTCATTAGCATTCAAGTAGCCATAATTAAAGTAAAAAAAAAATTGAATCTTTAAACATGCATCAACACGCAACATGAAGCTACTTATGAACACAAAGCAACCAAAGAAGGAAATTTGTTGAGCACCCAGCCAGCCACAACCAAGAGCAACAAACTTGAAGTCTAGAACATCCACAAAGGAACAACATCATAAAAAAACACAAAACAACTCATGAATGCACTAATCTTTAAAGGAAAAAAAAGAGAGCTGAAAAGGACCTCAATGGTTGGCCTTACCAGCAAAATAAAACTACATAAACTCACCCAACAAAGCTGGAAACGCAGGAGAAGAGGCCCCACGTAGCAAATAAAACCCAAAACCGAAAAAACCCAACGCATAAGATGCCAAATCTTCTGGTTAACCTATCAAAACAATAAAAAAACCCAAAGAAAAAACACCAAATAGGGATTGCAAGAGAAAAAAATAACCCAAAGCCAAAATGGATGCAGAGCAAATAGATCAAAATAACCTATACAGCCACCGCCCAAAAACATTCAACAAAGATTAGCAAAACCAATTTTCACAGCCATCCTCACAATTGAAATAAAAAAATAACAATGAACAGATGTTGCCAAGAGAAAAAAAGAAAAGAAAAGAAAGAACCGAAGCCAAGAACAGCATAGAGAAAACAACCAAAAAACAAATGCAAGAAAGAAACCGAGAGAGCACACAACCACGCTTTTCAGGGGGGAAAAAACAACTAACCATCCGTTACCCTCTTAAATAAAAAAATTAGACAGCTTGACACAAAGGGAAAGAATCTAATCAGGGCAGCTATGATAGCCAAAGCAAACATGGTAGCCCATCCTAAAACGAAGTGAAATGGAGTGGTAAAGGGGTGCGGGAAATAAATAAAAAAGTAAATCAAATGAAACTGAAAATAAGGCTTTACCAAACCTGGCTCCATGAAGACCATACCTAGCCACCAACCCACAGAGAAGATGGAATGGCCAGGCCCTAGGAAAGCGGTCCCAGATGAATAGGACGCTCAATTAGCAATTCCCCGGACACAAATTATAATCTGAACAACTTGCCAAATTAAAGCGCTTTTTATGGGCAATCATTACAGTGCACCGATCCAGGAATGAATAACCTGCGAATCAGAGGAAAAAAAGCCACATCAGCAACGAGATGTCTCACAAAAGCAAGCCGAAAACTCAACTGAAAAAGAGAGAGGAGAAGGGCTGAGAAGCTGCAGATCAAGAATCTCTTGCACTTCTTTGAGTTCTAATAGTCTTATAGGTCAAATTCTTTCATCCATTTCAAACTTACAAAACCTGTGGCACCTTAACTTATCCAGAAATAAATTCTCAAATCCTTTGCCAGTTATTCAAGGTAGGGGTCTTCCTCATCGATTATCAATAGACCTGACTTACAACAACCTCAATTTAGGGTCAGTTCTTGATTGGATCAAAGATAAAGAACTTTCAGGTGTTCATCTAGCTAACTGTAAACTCAAAGAAAACCTTCCAAAATTTACAAGACCAGATTCTTTGAGCTCTTGAGACATATCTGATAACTTTCTAATGGATAGCATTAGTGGTTTCTTCACCAACATGTCTAATTTGCAAAAGCTCAAGCTGTCACATAACCAATTGAAGTTTGATATTTTAGAGATCAAATTGCCAGATGTAATATCCTCAGTGGAGCTCAAATAAAATCAGCCTAGTGGGTTTCTCTCAAGGATTTTAAACAACAGGGCAAACAACTTTCTGGAGATTTTAAATGTATCAGATTTCAGGCACAATCCCAAAACTCATAAAAGGATTAAGCTTGAAGGTTCTAAATCTCATAACAACATTCTCATTAAATCAATACATTGAGGAGATATTCTGAACTCACATCCTTATTTTCAGCATACCCTGCCTTAAGCTCAACAGCCTTATCCACATAAGGCTTCTTCTCCAGAAACAAATCGAAATCAAAACATAACAGTTACAGACCACTCTCATCATTCAATAGCTTATAAATGTCCACCAATGATTTATAGAAAAAAGAGAGATAAACCAACACTCACTTCACCAGTCATTAATTTCCATCTCTCACCACCTTCCCTTGCAACCTGAATTTCATCAAATGCAGCATTAGCATTACTATACACTTTCCTAAGATCACCCCTTATAATTATTAGTATATCAACTTGAACAACATAATAAAATTGAAAATGACAAAACTATTACGTTTCATTTATCTTCTTAACATTCTTAAGAGTGTGGGTTGATACTCTTTCCTAAGATCACCCCTAATTAAAGAACAACACACATCAATTCAAACCCCACTCCCCATATTCACGCATTATCATCACATTATATTACACCACACAAACAAGCAACAAAGGGGCATTATCACATGAGGAGAAAGAAAGTAATGGGAGGTCGTTTCAGTGCATTTTGATCATTGCCCTTCTCTTTCTTCGCTTTCGGCTCTGTCAAGATTGCTGTCTTCCTACAAACCAAATCACTAATTCACAATCCCCAAATCATGACAAACAATCAGTTGATTAATCAGATAAAAAAACAAAATCAATGCCTCTTAGCATCAAGACTACATTATGGAACTGAACTAACCAGAATTTATCTTGATTTTATCATCAAGACTACGGCCTTGGAAACTTATAAAGCCACTGGCAAATCCTTCTTGCACTCTTCACTGCATGAATCAATTCAAAAAAAAAAACAAATGAATTACTTCATTGATTCCTTAATTAATTTCTGCAACCAGGTTCCCTCTTTCTTAAAAAATTCAAAGAACCTTGATTGAAAACCCCATAATCAAGTCAAGAACACAAAACTAGAGACACCCAGAAACAGAGTTTGTTCAAAAATCAACCGCGTTACTCAATTTCTTCAAAAAAATCAAAGAACCCATAATTTTAAACCCCAAAATCAATTCAAGAACACAAAAATAGAAAAACCCAGATTTAAAAAAAAAATCAAACAAATCATAGCTACATTTCTTGAAAATCTTCAAACTCAAATTAAGGGAACGCAAGTAAATACCATTTAACAAAACCACTGTCATCTTTTGCACGAACAAGTGAAGCAGCAGTGGTAGTAGCAAAACCATCAGTAGACTTGGCTCCTCCTCCTCCTAACTGCTAAGAGATTTTAAGAATGAAAATAAAAGGAGAAATGTGCGTGTCTGATTGACTGGGAACCAATCTGGATAACATCTAGAGGTGCCTTAGTGATGGAAATGGCTGGTAGCCAAGTTCCATTCACGGTGTTTACAAGTTAGTGAGCAAATAGAAGAAGAGAGAGATAGAAGCAGAATTCCACGCATTCAGCTCAACATTCATTCATTACGTTCATTACTATCCTTCTCCAATTCTGTTACAGATCTTATATATGAAGATAACTTCCTTTATTCTCGCTACCGGCCACACGTGGCATCTTTTCTTAACAAACCCTGCGCTAATAAAATGCGCGTATAGTTATAACTAAATCCTAATGGTCATATTGTCTAAGCTTCATTTGATTTGAAAACAACCTTGTGTCCAGTGCAATTCCTTCCTCCCCCTCGAATCAAACTTAACCTGTGACAAGAAGAAAATTTCAGTTATGACAGCTGTAAAATGGCGCCAAATTGTTGGGTTTGGTATGAGAAGGAAATCATTTTGACATGGACAGATGACTTGGAATTCTTATCCACCATTGGATTTTTCTCATGATTTTATATCAACAGCTTCGATTCAATTTCTCATTTTTGGCTCGCCTTCAAGAAACCATCGCAAAGTACATGGTTGAGGTATATGGAAATGGAACCCCAAAAGCTAGAGGTATTTATGATAATTAATTAGTATTTAGTAGTTTTATAAACCATAGTTTTATCTTTTATAATTGACTATTTTATCAAGTTTTTAAGTAATTTAGTCTTCTTTTTTATGTTTCTAGTAAGCTGCTCTTTTTCCCATGTATCTCCGTCCCTTTGTTTATGCTTTTGGAAGTTTCTGAGGGAAGGGTTTTTTACTTCTTTTGCATAACCACAGTTGATTTGTCTTTACTTTTTTTTTTTTTTGTTGATGTTGATGAGGTTTTTTCCACTTTCCTAGCCGCATCTGCACACTATGTGGTCTTTTATCTTTCCAAGTTTTTCTTTTTCCTATTTGATTTTGATTGTTTATTTGCTTCTTGGTTGGAGTTACTGATGGGGCTCCTGGTTAAGAAACTAAGGTGGTTGTGAGACTATGAGCTTGCTGATGGTGTTTACATGTCCGTGGCAGGTTGTTCTTGAATGGTAGATCAACTGTATGTAGAAGAACTTCTGAGGCTTTTTCATGGAACTTGATCCGTTAGGAGTACTTGGACACTGGATAGACTCCTAGCTATTGTTTATGAAACTTGATGGTGCTCTATGTAATAAAAGGTTCCGAATTGCAGCTGAGATAGCCACTGGTTTGCTCTTTCTCCGTCAGACCAAGCCAGAGCCACTGGTTCAACGTGACCTCAAGCCAGGAAACATTACTCCAGCAACATGTTCTCATTTAGAAATTCAAGGTATTCTTCATCTCAGCTCTCATATGGGCATTATATGCTTGACCGGATTTCAAATCTTCAGACGACCTTTTCAGTATCAATCATCTGTTTCCACCTCTAAACCATGGGGATTGGCTCTAAAGATTACCCCTGGATCTAAAAGGTTGGTAGCAATCATGCAGACAAACTCGTTGCTAAACTTCGATCAGGACAAAAATGCTGCTCCCCAACTCTGGTATGTTTGGTCTGATGTTATACTTGGTGGCCAGAAGCAGTTTGTAAATACCAAGGTTATGCCATGACTTCTTGAATTTTTCTTCTGGCTTGGCCAAGATTTAATTCCACCTTTATCGTTTTGTCCAAAAACTAACATTCAATAATGGTACTTACTCGGTCTTCATTGGAAATGAAACTAGAGTTTAAAACTTTACATTGATGAGGACAAAATACCTCCATTAATCTTCTTAAATGCATGTCTATCTATGTGCTTATGTCGTGTTTCAAAATGCAGTAAACTTGAAAAAACATCATTTTTTATATTTTTTTCAAGTTAACTGTAATTTAAAGCACATAAACAATGTTAATAAATGTAATTTAAAAGTGTATTTGTAAATGCGTTGAACTGCACTTCTAAAAAAAATTAATTTTTATTTAATTTTTTAAATTGTTTGTATCTATTGCACTCTCAAATATACCCTAAAAATATTGAAATAAGCGTTTGGCTGAAGTTCAATCATGTTTTTGAGGCGTTGTTTCAAGGAAACTAGGGTTGTTGAAGATGAGGGTCTTTTAAAAAGATGATTGGAAGAGATTTGGAGCTCGAGATTTTGCACGAAGAAGATGACAGATGAAGCGCTGAATGAATTCAGAGGTAGAGATGGTAGCTTAAACTTTTTCAAACTAAATTCATGAGAATCAATGTGAGATTAATGATTGTGTCATCAACTTCAAATTTTTACGTATCGCATCGATGTTATTTAATTTTCTCTTGAGATCCAATAATACAACATTGGATTATTGTTGATATCCAAAATATACATTAAACATTTGAATAGATGAAAGTTGATAGCTGGTTTGTTAGTAAAGAGACAGCTGATATGATCAAGGAAAGTAAAGAAGTGTATGCAGTTTATATACGTGTTTGGTAATACAGCGTATAGTACTGTTTTTTAGTGATTATTTGGTATTGTATTTGAAATTATATTTGATTGTGTTTTAATTTAACTTAGAAAAATATTAAAATGATAATTTTTTAATGTTTTTAAATTATTTTAATGTACTAATATAAAAAATAAATAAACAATATATTTTTTAATATATTTTTAAATAAAAAATACTCCGTGAAATAATATCAAATACATATTTAAAAAGTATGTTTTTCTTTAAAATATATTAAAATAAAAAATTTATAATTTTTTTATTTTTTATATTAATATATCAAAATCATTAAAAAATACTAAAAAAATATTAATTTGATATTTTTCTAAATAAAATATATCTAAAAACGTAAATTATCACAATCTCAAACATTTATTATACAACTGGATTTGCAAGAATTGAAAACCATTTTGAATCTAGGTTATTGGATTCAATGTGTAGGATAGGATGGATTCTAATTCATTCATGAGTTAAGATTTTTTTTAGTAAAAAAAACTCCTACATTGGTTATTTTTTTATTTTGTTCGATAGAAGTTATATTTCAAAATTAGTATTGAGATAACATATATATCTCGTTATAATTTTTTAATTTGTCTGATACACAATTTTAATTCAAGTTTATTACAATTTATTTTGTAAATTTATTATAGCATTATGATTTATCTTTCTTTATATGTTTCTAATTTATTTATTTATTTTCTTTGCTATACAAATTAACTTTATTGTAGTTTTTTTATTTTAGTAACCTTCTCCATTAGCCTAGATATAGATGGCTTTGTTTAAAATCTGCAAGAAAAACAAAAAAAGAGGACTTAAGTGTATTATTACATTACACAATAAACTAAAAGGCACAGGGAATTACTTTTCCACAACGGACTAATCTTTTTTTAAATTTCACTGTTAAATTGCCAAATTGAATTCCGATTTGGGTAAATTTTTTTAGAAAGTGTGAGATTAAAAGAGAAGGGACTAGTGTGAAAAATACAGAGGGAATAAGTGGCTTTAACAAAGTTTGTGCAAAATATGAATTTTAGTCCCTAAACTTTTGTAACTATAAATACATGATCCTTTCAGTTTTTAAAAATCAAGAATAAAGTTGATTTTGATCTCAAATTTTATTTTATTTTATTTTTAATTTCTTGTTTGAGATAGGAAAGGAAAAGTTATTGTATTCTACAGAAAAAAGAGAAAGTTATCACCTACCCTAACTAAAGCCATGGAAAGGGTTATTTTGATGTTAATGACATCCTGAAGAGTTTGTGCGTGTTAAAAATAAATTTTAAAAAATAATAAAAATATTATTTTAATATATTTAAAAAAAATTAAAAAATTAACCTTTATTATATTTTAAAAATACCTTAAAAAATAACTTATATCACATTTTCAAACATGCATTTCAAATTAAGAGCAGTTTGTGCCGAAATTGCAACCGATCTCCCGGATATGACCTCTAAATTGCCAATGATTTGCTAGCACATAATGTCAAAATAGAAGGACACGAAAAACCTTCATCATATCTTTATTTTTCAAATATAATACTTTGTTTGCAAGAATATTTTTGTAGCTTGTTGTGTCCCTCAGATGACCAAAAATATATTGTTTTTCACCTACAGAACAGAACCATGGATTAACATGTGGTACCATGTCGGACAAGCGAAGAGTGTGTGCTTGGTCTTACACCCTCATCCGCTTCTTAATAGATTTTTATTATTATAATTGATTGGTTTTTTAAAATATTTTTATTTATAAACATATTAAAATATTATTTTTTTAATATAATACATGAAAATCATTTAAATATATAAAAAATTAATTTAAAATGATTATTAAAAAAAAATACAAAAACATACAAACTATAACTTTCAATGTAACTTTCAAGCTCAACTCTCTCTCTCTCTCCCTCCAATTATTAATTTTCTTTCTCAAAACTCAAATCTTTTTTAATCTTTTACTGAAAAAATCAAGTCTTTCTCTTAAAAGTACAAAACCCAACCTTGGGATGCACCCCTCCTTCTCTTTCCCTTCGTTTCAACTCATGAGAGCTTCTTCTTCCACTTCCAATTTCCCTTCGTTTCAACTCATGAGAGCTTCCACTTCCACTTCCACTTCCACTTCCTTGCAATGAACTATTGCTTTAATCCTACAGTCTTTGTAGATTGCCATGGACTTTGGGGTTCTTGGGTTGGAGGGTCTTGTGGGTCCTGAAACTAGTAGTGAAGCTCCTTCTCATGTCTCACCTCCTGAGACCAAACCAAAGATTCTTGGATCTGTGTTTAGTAAGCGAGAAACATCAGCATCGTCTGCTCAAGATGATTACTCGAGGACTTCAAAGTTGCCAAAAAATGATGATTTTTCTGTCACCAAAACAATGTCATTGCACCAACCCACTTCTTTACTGAGATCTAATTATAAGCTTTCTGATGATTCTCGCCAACAAGAGCACATGATGAGCTTCTCTTCTCCAAGACCAGAAAGGACTCCATTTCTAAGCAAAGATGGTGGGTTAGTGGAGAGAAGCACACAAAACCACACTGCCTTAAGCTTTCCTTACCATCAGAACACAGCGTCTTCTTATATTAGAAGTGCAGGTAAGTAAATAAGCTCTTCAAGTTTTTGTTTTTTTGGTTAAATTTGGTACATGGATTTCGTTTGGTGTTTGATTTTG